CCACCGGCTGAACTTTGACCTCTTGCCGCGGGCACCTCCCCCGCCCTCGCTCCGGCCCTAGGCGTTTTCTTCCTAGGGTCACCGGGCCCACAAGAGTGTGAGTTCCCTGAGGGCAAGAACTGCAACTGGTCCCACTTGGAGCACAGTGGACGTGAGGTTTGAAAGGAGTTTGGAGTTGAGGGTAGAGAAGGACCAGCCGGGTCCCTGGGCTTTGTGCTAATCCAAAGCCAACATGCAAACGAGATGCAAATGAGCCAATAAAACTGTGCGCCCCCCCCCCTCCATCCCACCCTTCATCTTGTGCTGTCCCCCAGATTCGGAGAAGCTGCCGCTGTCCCCAGAGCCGTCGGAGCGGCTCCCCCAGACCCCCACCAAGAGGCTGCGCAAGCCGAGGACCATCTACTCGAGCCTGCAGCTGCAGCATCTAAACCAGCGTTTCCAGCACACGCAGTACCTGGCACTGCCCGAGAGGGCCCAGCTGGCTGCACAGCTAGGCCTCACCCAGACCCAGGTGGGGTCAGTCCCATCCTTCCTGCATGCTAACCATTCCTAAGTGTGTTCTCTGGGAACTCAGCCCCCAGGGTGGGAATGACAGATGAGTCCCTTAGCCCTGCTGTCACAGTCATCCAGGGTGTGTTCATAGCTGGCCTTCAGTAATCTGGCAGAATGTATTAAAAGGTGTTGGGGGGGGTGGGCAGGGGTAGGTTTAGGTAAAGGAGGATACCCAGACTGGGAGAGCTCAGAGGCAGGAACTCAGGGGCATCCAGGGCTGTGGAGGACTGGAGCAGTGTTCCCAATTTCTGCTCTTCTCCCAGGACTGCTCCTTACTGCTGGGTTCCTTGACTTTGGTCACATCCTTCCCACATATATTCCACCTGATTTTCCATTCTTTCCCCTTTTCTCCCTGAAGGTAAAGATCTGGTTTCAGAACAAACGTTCCAAATACAAGAAGCTCCTGAAGCAGAACTCTGGGGGGCAGGAAGGGGACTTGCTCAGTAGGCCTCCCTCCCTGTCTCCCTGCTCCCCACCCCTGCCATCCCTCTGGGATCTACCCAAGGCAGGGACCCTGCCCACTGGGGGTTATGGCAACAGCTTTGGATCCTGGTATCAGCATCACTCCCCAGATGTTCTGGCTCCACCTCAGATGATGTGAGCCTGGGAAGGGTAGGTCAGGCTCCCAGCCCACCTGCACCCCTTCTGGACAGGGAGGAAACCAGCTCCAGATGGGTTTTCTCAGGATGACAAGGAGCTAGAGGAGAAAAAGGATGGGATGGAGTCCTGTCCCCCTTGCCCCATAACCCAAAGAGCCTAAGAAAGAACTTCGGTCTTAGCTACTGCTCCCCACCACTACCATGGACAATATACCTTCCCTTCAGCTGGACAAAGGCTCTGGAGAGAGTCATTGGCTGGAGTTCAGACTGCTCCTAGGAACCCTTGTCTTGCCACCCCTTCCTTGAAAAGACTGCAGTCCCACCACAGCCTGGGGTCAAAACCAGCAAGAAACACTGAGTATTTTTCCTTTGTATGCCTTGGACCTTGCTCAACCCATTTGCGAGCAAGAGCAGAAGTGAGGTGGATATCCAGTCTTCAAGTTGACCACCATCAGGTTTCGCCCACCAATTTTTCCTGGAGGTCAGCCCATGACTCGATAACTGATACACCTACTCACCCCCCTGTGAGGAAGAGGAATGCTGAAAATGTGGACTTTGTAGACCTATGGGTAATTTATGTTTTCTTCCTTTAAAAGCCCTCTTTTCCCCATGTCTACCATTTTGAGTAGATAATGGATTCAATTATCCTTATAATTCAGTGGGTATTTATTGAGCACCCCCCCCCCATACCTAACAACTCCACATGCACATACTCTTGGGAACACAGTAGGGTAACCCTTTGGGCAGAATTTGGATAAATAGGCTCTCTGGATGAGTGTAAGTAGAGACACCCCAGCAATTCAGCTCCTCACAGCTGTCTCTGTCTAAATGAAATACATTTATAACCACTCTGACTAGCATCCCCAAGCTCTTGCTATCATCCCTCATACAGTGAGCTTCCAGAGATTAAAGTTTGTACAAAAACCTGGGTCCTGGCTCTGTTTGTTTCCTGACTTCTGGGGCTGGCTGCTCATTTCTGTTCTCTTCTATCTGACTCTTCCAGCCTTGAACTAGAGGGACTGAAGCCTAGTTTTGCCTCTGCCACTAACTAGCTCTGTGGCTCTAGCTCTGGAATGTTCTAATAATGTCTATATTTTCATAATGCTCCAGTGTGAAACTGGACGATGCTAATGCTGGGAATGACCAAAGTCTGAATGGTCCTCACCAGCAAAGTCTCTCCTGGCCCAGTTCCGGAAGGAGCCATGCACTACACAGCCCCCTGCACCCCTCCTTCAGCCCAGAGAGAGCCCCTGCTCACCCTGGGAGAGGACATGCCCACTGAACCAATCCAGTCCACCCCTGAGAAAGGTGTGCTCCTTGAGGGTGAAAGGCCTCAGCCCGCCTAGGGGAAAGGGGAGGAGGAGGCGGAGAAGAAAACCCCAGAAGGAACTAGACTTCTCCATCCAACAAACATTTGTAGAGCCTCTGCTCTGTTAGATCCCCAGATACCAAGGTGATTTAGGCAGACCCTGAGGGCTAACGGATACCAAGGTGACCTAGAGACAGACACTGCAGGCTAACAGGGGAGCCTGACAAGTGGCCAGCCACTTGTGGTGTGAGGCTCTCAGATGTACAGAGGGCCGTGCGCGCATAGTCGAGGGGCTCTAACTAGGCCTGGACCCATTGGTAGACTCATGGCCACCCTACCCCACCACACACACAGCACCCAGTGGCAGGGGGCTGAGGACAAGGGCAGCCAATAATTCAGGGAATCCAGCCCAGCTTGACTGGAAGGGTTGGGGGAGGGGCCTCCAAGTCCAGGAAAAATGCTTCCAAATCCAGCTTTCCTCTTACTGCCTAAACCTGTTCCCAGGCACTCAGGACCCACCCGGTCTGGAAAGACCATTCGAGCACTTTGAGTCAACCTCACGGGCCAGAGAAAGGCCCAAATTGGAGTCATGTATAGAGTAGGGAGGTGTGAAACTCAGTGGAAGTCCCCCATCCCTGGAGAAGGTCTGCAATCTGTCCCTCCTAGGCCCTGTTCTGGATCAGTGGCCCCCCACATTTCCCAAAACACACATGGAGGGTTCCCCTGGGGATGGCAAATGGCATGGGGCAGCCAAAGCCAAGATCCAGGAGCAGTGAAGAATGAAGGTGCCAGGAGGAGAAACCTCTTCCTCATCACCAATGCCTCCCCCCCACCCCCGGCTCCCCTCTTCCCACTGGCTCTCAATGGACCCTGCCCCAGATCCATCCTCTGGGTCTTCTCTGAGGCCACAGGCCCTCGGGGCTGCTGTTCCTCCCACTGCAGGTTGCACACTACTCCTCTTTCCACAAGCCAGAGATAAGATCTACCGCCCCATCTCGGAAAGCCTCCAAAGGCGAGATTAATTGGACAGCCAAACACGAGTCGCATCGTTAAAACAACAGCCGGGGTTGTAAAGTTAAGTAGCAGGAGTGTAATTGCTCTCCCAGCCAGAGGCCAGCTGAGCTGACAGCATCTCCTCCTTTCCTACTCTCATCCGTCTGCCCTTTCCAGTGGGAATGGGAGTCCTTTTCTACTTGGGAGCCGTTCAGTTTCCCTGAGCTCCTGGGTGATGATGGGACTGGGACCCAGTGGAGGAGGAGCTCTATTCCCTCCCCCCCCGCAAGCCATTTGAGCTGTAGAGGGAAACCTGAGGTTTCTTCCCAGGAGGACATCCCTCTGGAAAAATTGGGTCAATAAGGGAGGGAGGACAAGACCAAGTGGTTAAGAATGAGGGCTTTCGCCCTGGCCGGTGTGGCTCAGTGGGCTGAGCATTGTCCTGTGTATGGAAAAATCACTGGTTCGATTCCCAGTCCGGGCACATACCTAGGTTTCAGGTTGATCCATGCAGGAGACAACTAATGGATGCCCCCTCCCCGCCCCTTCCTCTCTCTAAAAAAAGAAATCAATACAAACATATTTGAAAGGGTGGGGGGCCTTTGGCCTCCAAAGAGTTTCAGCCTACAGTGTGACTCTTGACAAGTGACTTCACCTCTCTCTGAGCCTCGTTTATCCCCCCCTAAGATGAGAATACTAGTAGCACCTGCTCCCCAGTGTGTTTGTGATGATGAAATGAGATAGTGCTTGTAACGTGCTTGACACCATGCCTGGAACATAGTGAGCACTTAATAAATGGTATTTATAGCCGCTGCATGATTATCAGGGAGGAGGGGTCACGGTGAGGGTGAGTTCATACTGCCACTGCCACACATTCACCTCTCTGCCTCCAGAGGGTAGAGAAGAGGAATGGGGCTGGGCACTGGAGAACTCCACGCACCTCTGGTCACCACCATTTGAGAGCAAGAGCCAGGCAAGGTGTTAAAAGCACTGGGCGTGGAAAATCAGCTGAGACTGGCAAGTGGAAACGGAGAGTCCAGGGCACATTCTCTCCCCTACAAGGGTCTCAGCCACAGGAAAGCTGACTCCGGGCTTCCCTTCCCTCTCCCCATGTGCTATTTTAAGACATGCCCCCCATTCTCTCCCCCAACAAAATGAGATTCAATTAATTCAATTAAAGCAATTTTGGGAGCAGCTCCTGAAGGCTTTCAATGTGAGATAATTACAAGTAATTTGCTCCTGTGACGAGGAAAAGGGCACCCAAGGTCTGGGGGGAAAGGAGGTAGCCCCGTCCCCAGCAAACGCACACATATCTAGAGGGATTCCACACGGCGATCTTAACTGCCCTCCCATTGGCCAAATTACTTGCAGGTGGGAAGAGGGAGAATGTGGTGGTGGGAGGGGGCTGGGAAGACACTGAGTGACAGCCTGCTCCTCCCCCACCCCCAAATCCTCTGTGCACAGAGAGGTGGGGGGCTGGTTGCTCCCGACAAAATGTCTGCATAGCCCTAGCAGCTGATTACTCAGCTCCAAACCTCACTTGAGCTTGGGTGCCTGAACTTGTCTCTGGGATTGTATCCAGAGTCAATGGAATGTTATCCGGGTAGCTGAGGCCTGTGTAGACGGGGGGCCTTGGAGATCAAGGACTAACCCCACAACTTATAAGGGATGTGGGTAGAGAGGGAAAAGGCCAGAGAAGGCAGACTGGGACTTCCAGCTATCAAAGAGGTGATGAGACACCCACTTTCTCTCCTCCCCTGATCCGGTGCTTTCTAGTTCTGCCTAGTGTCTAATCTCAGCTCTTCCCTTGTAGTGGTGGCAAATCTCCTCTCAGCTTTCCGTCCTCAGGGCCACTAAAGCCTATTCTCCAGAAATGTATCCTGCAGGTGTTGCCTAACAGCAGTTCACCTTGGCTAACCCTTTCCTTGCCAGGGCTCATTTGACCTGGGCGGAGGTGGAAGGGGGGAGTGATGGTGCTAATAGGGAACTACAGGTAGAGGCTGGGGGATGGGCTGAGACAGAGGTGTGAGGATGGGTTTCAGGCCTTTGCAAAGACCCTTTAAACCCGGCCCACAAAGTAGCTGATTTTCAGGGGACTAGGGTCCCCCTTTACCTGGGAGCCCTGCTCCAGGAGGTAATGTTTTAATTATGGTGGAAAAGAAAAATTCACTGATCCCCCAAAGTATTTCTGTTTTTATCTCCCCTTCTCTCCCCTCTCTCTTCTTGCTTCTCCCATTCCAAGGAGAGATGATGAAGAGAGGTTCCTTCAGCTCTAGTCTCCCCCACTCTGACCCTTGCCCCTTCCCCTTTTCTGAGTAGCATGCATGGCTGTTGGACCTGAGGGAACCAGGGAAAATTTCTATCAGCGAGTCCCTGGGCTACTGCTGTCTCTTCCTCTCCAAGATGAAAAACATAAAGGGAAAACTGGCTGCCTCTCCATGCCTCTCCCCCCTTTCCTGGCCAGCCCAGATTGGTTAAAAGAGGGCAGGGGGAATTAAAGACCCGTCCACGCCAAACCTCAATACAAAGGTCCCAGTCAAATGTATGGAGACAGGCAGATGGATGCAGGGCCCAGGCCCAGGGACATCATAAGTATACCACATTTCCACAGAAGACAGAGCATACACAGGCAGGCCAGATACCCATGATGGCAATCATAGAGTGGGCAGAGCCCCACACAGACACGTGTGAGCATGTGTTCGTGAAGCCTTCCCATGGTTGTACACGGATATATACGAGAAATACACTCACAGGTTATATACTCACAGAGAGAAGCCCAACACAGAGGGATGAACCAAGAAGGCGCAGAAACAGACTGAAACAACCCAGAAATACAGACTAGCCTCCCTGTGTATGAGTGTGTGGGGGGAGGGAAGAGAACCGGTTTCTGCCTCTCCTCTCCTCTCCTCTCCTCTCCTCTCCTCTCCTCTCCTCTCCTCTCCTCTCCTCTCCTCTCCTCTCCTCTCCTCTCCTCTCCTCTCCTCTCCTCTCCTCTCCTCTCCTCTCCTCTCCTCTCCTCTCCTCTCCTCTCCTCTCCTCTCCTCTCCTCTCCTCTCCTCTCCTCTCCTCTCCTCTCCTCTCCTCTCCTCTCCTCTCCTCTCCTCTCCTCTCCTCTCCTCTCCTCTCCTCTCCTCTCCTCTCCTCTCCTCTCCTCTCCTCTCCTCTCCTCTCCTCTCCTCTCCTCTCCTCTCCTCTCCTCTCCTCTCCTCTCCTCTCCTCTCCTCTCCTCTCCTCTCCTCTCCTCTCCTCTCCTCTCCTCTCCTCTCCTCTCCTCTCCTCTCCTCTCCTCTCCTCTCCTCTCCTCTCCTCTCCTCTCCTCTCCTCTCCTCTCCTCTCCTCTCCTCTCCTCTCCTCTCCTCTCCTCTCCTCTCCTCTCCTCTCCTCTCCTCTCCTCTCCTCTCCTCTCCTCTCCTCTCCTCTCCTCTCCTCTCCTCTCCTCTCCTCTCCTCTCCTCTCCTCTCCTCTCCTCTCCTCTCCTCTCCTCTCCTCTCCTCTCCTCTCCTCTCCTCTCCTCTCCTCTCCTCTCCTCTCCTCTCCTCTCCTCTCCTCTCCTCTCCTCTCCTCTCCTCTCCTCTCCTCTCCTCTCCTCTCCTCTCCTCTCCTCTCCTCTCCTCTCCTCTCCTCTCC